CAGTTCTGGTGGCGTGGCTGTGGCTGCCCAGAGCACCCTGTTGGAAAGGAATTTGAGGACATGTGGGAAATCTGAAGGAACGGCGGACTGGTATTTTCCCAGCCTGAACGATTATTCTTGCTCTCTCATCTTTAAGACCACTTGTTCTTCCAGTCAGCAGGGTTAAGAGATGCTAAGTGTTCTAGAGATCCAGGCCAAGGACAACAATCCACGGCCCGGATTGGTGCTGTTTGTGCTACATTCAATTTATTTTGGGAAAGACACAGTCTGGCATTATATTTTAGAACTGACGGTAGCACCCATTGTAACCCAGCAATTCCACTCCTAGGAACACACCCTAGAAAAACGCGTCTATCTGTCCATCAGGAGATAGGGGGGAAAGTGTCCATAATATTCAAGGGAATGGAAAAAAATAATTGTGGTGCACACACATACAGAGTCTACCCATTTGACTAGTTACACAAAACTCTCTCCTAAGGAGCCTGGGTGAAACAACAGCTAAGGGCCTGAACCCACCAGCAGCTCTACCCATAAAAAGACCTGCTGGCTGGTCCCTCTGACAATGACAGCCTGGAAACACTAGGGGGCGATCTACTCTGTCCACAGTGACTGGAGGGCATGAAGCAGCACAAAACTCCGGGTTCAAATGAAGGAAAGAAGCAAGTGCCTTAAGACAATATATAATACCAGGCCTTTGTGGAAGAGATCAGAAAGTGAAACAGCAAAACTAAATTATAAAATGATGTATATGGGAACTCTGTGCTTTCTGAAGCATTTTTCTGCAACCTTAAAACTGCTCTAAAAATAAATGTATTTGCAAAACATGAAATTATTTACCATCAAGAATAGGTACAGATCAAACTATGATTAAAGCAGGCAGGAGCTAGGACAGGGAAGATGCCCTACATTGGAACGTTCTAGTTGGGTTGGGGACGCCCTGGGGGCACCGTGGGTAAGCACTCAGCTAGCTGCAAACCCAGACGTTGACGGTTTGAACCCCGCTACAACTTTGAAGGAGAAAGACCTGGTGATCTGCTCCCAGAAGGATTAAAAATATATATTCACTGCCATCGAGGCAATTTGGGCTCATAGCAATCCAATAGGGCAGGGTGGAGCTGCCTCCATGAGGTTACCAGACTGTAACTCTTTATAGGAGTAGAAAGTCTCGTGGAGTGGCTAGTGGTTTAGAACCACCAACGTTGCAGTTAACAGCCCAGCGTGTAGCCAAAGTGCCACGGGGGCTCCTGCACACAGGAAACCCTGTGGAGCAGTTTGACTCTGTCACCTGGGGTCTCTATGAGTGGAAAATCCACTCAATGGCACCTAGCAAGTGAAGTTGGGTGGTGGTGTCCCAGGTTAGACTTCTTAACTGTGTGGGTGCTGCTGTTGTTGTCACATATATTCCTTAAAATAATCCATCTTCATCGAATGCAGTGGGCAATGAAAAGAAGAAGAAAAAGACCCCTTTCGCTCTGCTTGGAGAGGTAGAACCATGCCTGGTTGAGAATAACGTGGATCATTCTAACTGCTACTTTTATAGAGTGACTGAACGGATAAACCTTTGTGGATGACTCAGTTCCACCTCCCCAGTCTACTGTCTGGTCTACAATGGCTGTGCCTCACCAGAAGTCTAAACGCAAGCAAGGACAACCTTGAGCTGACGTGTCCCCACCCTCACATCTCAGGGGGTGCCCAAAGGAACAGCCAGCTGCCCCCACCTTCTCATCTGTAGTAAGTTTGCATGAATCCCTTTCAAAAAATATGTCCTTTCGATTTTTTGTTATCATTTTACACAACTCATCCTAGTTTTAGTACCCTTGTAATAATAGTAATAGAGCGTTTTTATCTGCAATGTACATGTTGTTTTGTAGTTCCGTTGTTTTGTACTTCCAATGAATTATTTATGACAACATGTCAACAACCTATGTGTCCAGTCATAAAGGAGTGGCAGAAGAGCATACAGACAGCAAAGGCTATATGATGAGTGTATCACAGCATGGACGACAACTAAATAATTCAACAAAAGTGTGCAATAGTTGATTTAATAAGATCTCACTGGTGTAGTATGAACACATGAAACCTATTCTCAAGGAAACTGTGAAGAAATACATACCAACATTAAGAGTGGTTATCTTTATGGGATAGCATATTGTTCTTCCTAAATTTCCCTTACAAATATGTCTTCCTTGTCGAACGGGTCACTGAAGACAAATGGGTGCATAAGCAAATGTGTCGAAGAAAGTTGATGGTGCCCGGCTATCAAAAAGTATAGCATCTGGGGTCTTAAAGGCTTGAAGGTAATCAAGCGGCCATCAAGCTCAGAAGCAACAAAGCCCACATGGAAGAAGCACACCAGCCTATGTGATCACGAGGTGTCGAAGGGATCAGGTATAAGGAAGGCATCATCAGAACAAAATATCTTACCATAGTGAAAGATGGGGGGAGTGCAGAGTGGAGACCCATAGCCCATTAGTAGACCACTGGAGATCCCCTTGCAGAGGGGTCTCGGGGAGAAGATGAGCCAGTCGGGGTGCGATGTAACAATGATGAGAAATACAACTTTCCTCTAGTTCCTAAATGTTTCCTCCCCGCTCCCACTACCATGACTCGAATTCGACCTTGCAAGTCTGGCTAGACCAGAGGATGTACACTGGTACAGATAGGAACTGAAAATACAGGGAATCCAGGGCAGATGAGCCCTACAGGACCAGTGGTGTGAGTGTAAGTATTTTTCATCGTTCTTACATCGCACCCTGACTGGTTCATCTCCTCCCCAAGATCCTTCTGCAAGGGGATCTCCAGTGACCTACTAATGGGCTATGGGTCTCCACTCCACCCCCCCCATCATTCACTATGGTAAGATTTTTTGTTCTGATGATGCCTTATACCTGACCTCCAAACATTCTTGAAAGGGGAACTGACAGATCTATTGTTGCCTTTGGGGGACTTGGAGTCCACAAATCGAGCTGTCCTTGTTGAGGCCAGGCTGCAAATCAGTGGTAATACCTAGATCAATGTTCACAGCCCTGGTACTTCCGGTGTTGTATGTTTCAGCTCTGAGTCTAACAGAGTCCCTAACCCCACTCACCTGCCCCCACCCCTGCCTCATGCATAAATAAATCAGCTCCCCTGAGGAGATTGTCCTCTCACATCTGTCTGCACACTGCTCAGGTGTGGGTGACTCACATACCACAGTTCGGTGTTTTTGCTTTAAAGGTGTTGGTAGGCAGGAAGGAAAAGTACTTTGAACACTAATCAAATAATCCCTGAAGCACTGCCCATTCTCAGGGTTGGCACAATCAGCCAACCACGCAGCCTAGATTACCACAAGCAGTCTTGATTCAGATCATATGGATATCAGTCAAGTCACCACCAGCCCCCGCTTTGGGTTCAAGAAAGTATTGTCATAACTTAACACCATGTCAGGGTTTGCTTTTTGTTTGGGATAAGAATTGAGTAAAAATTTAAAATTAATATGTGGTGTATACACACTCTCACACCAGGATTGTGGGGAACAGGGACTTCCAACCACAGAAGGCGGGAATGTCAATGTAGTAGAAGCGCCTTGGGAAGCCTATTAGATCTGAAAGCAGTACCCGCCACAGTCCCAGATGTCCCCTCGAGATACATATCCTAGGGAAGAATCACACATGTGCACAAATACACAGAGTCTAATATTGTCATTGTAGGAACAGTTTTTATAGAAACTTTGCTTCAGAACAGCGCAATCTCATATATTCATAGGATAGACTGTTCACAACATGCATAAGGGGACTTCCAAAAGTTTGTGTAAAAACGGAGTTAAAAGAAAATGAAAGTTTCCAACAAACTTTGTGAGGCTTCCTAAGACTATACAGACCAACGTGAAGAGATCTGAGTATAGTTTGAAATAGCAAATCTTTGAGACTTAGGTGGGGAACGTGGCTATAGATCTCTAGTTCCCAAATGGAAAGACCTAAAAAGCATGTAAATATTTGGATGAAGAATTCTTCAAATGACACCTAAAGAAGGATACCTTTTCTGTATAAAAGGGGAAAAAGCAAGAGATGACAACATGACAATTTACAAATCATCAAGGGCTCGTGAGGGAGGGGGAGGAGGGAGGGGGAAAAATGAGGACCTAAGTGGAGAGCAAATGTTTTGAGAATGATGAGGGTAATGAATGTACAAATGTGCTTTACACAATTGATGTATGTATGGATTGTGGGGAGGGGAAGAAAGAAAGAAATATCCATATTGTATTAAGTAGAAAGATAATGTTTTGAAAATGATGATGGCAACATATATACAAGTTTGCTTGATATAATTGATTTGTGGATTTTTTTAACAGTAAAATGATTTTAAAAGGTCGGGGGACACACACATCCACACAAGCTACCACTAGCTGTTGGTTAAGTGTGTAAAAGTGCAAGAACATTCTAGAAGGAAACACATTAAAACCACACGGGTTATGTCTGAGGGAAGACACACAGACTGAGGTTGAGACTTAAGAGAAGAAGTGTTAAAGTAGAATCACAGCATTATCCACGATACTGTCACTTTTCAAAGGTAAATGGCTATTCCTGTGTGATTTGTATTCAATTACAATAAATTCTAATCATGTCAGCAATTACATTGTGTTCTAAAGTATTTATTATATTCTTAAAAAGCTACAAACTTGGAGTCTTCGGTCAGAACACATTACCCACCATACCACCTGCACCTCTCCACCCCCTTTCCCTGGTCCTCACCTCACACAGCACACCCACACAGCCACCACAGCTGTGGGGGGGGGAAATGCCTCCAAGCGTGGGCTCACCTTTACAGCTGGCCTCGGGAACCAACGGCATTGGCAATGACTTCTTGCAAGAAAACAGCCGACTATCGGATGCCCCATTTTGTTAAAAAATGACCACATGGATCCTGCCCCTTCCCTTGATGACTTTGGAAAGAACTATGATTAGAGCTGGGCACCAGTCAAACTAACAGGAGAGGAGACGGCAACTCTCCGAGGCGCATACCTGTCGAAGACCACGGCAGAGTAAGCCCGCTCCGCAAAGATGACATCCGCTGCCCAGAGCTCCTTAGTGGCCTTCAGACCCCTGCCTTTGCCCTCGGAGGTGAAGACGTCCACGTTCTCCATGGCCCCTATTGTCATCTCAGAGACGTTCAGGCCAAATCCTCTACACCGAGGCAAGCCTCTTGTCACTGTTGCTATTTCAGCACCTCCAGTAGCCCACAGAGCAGGACTATAAATGGGCAAACCACCTCCCCTTCCCGACCTCCTCTCAGCCACTGGGCCCCCACCTTCCCCTCGGCCGTTGTTCCTGCAGGCAGGGCTGGGTAGGCCAGAGGACAGTGACCTGGGAAGGGTCTCCTGTCTCACCAAGCAAGGATGACAGTACAGAACGAGCCGAGGGGGCTGGTGGTTCTAGACCTCCCAGCCAGGAAATGTTTTGAAAAGTTACTTTGCAACAAGAAACTATCTGTATGTGTTGGGCTTCTGCCATGTCCAGCTCAAGCTGGGAACAGGAGCACTTTGTGGCTAGGGTATTTTTAGCAGCCAGCTGCCTCTGTCCATCAAAAGCAGACAGCTGAAATGGTCCAGGGGAAGAGGCACGGTGATAGGTGCTGCACTGGGAGCCTTCAGCTGTCAGACTTGCACTTGGTCAAGTGACCTGACTGCCTCAAACCCCATTCCTTGAAATTAACCCTACTCCCCCTTGAGTGGACTCTTTGAAAAAAGCAACAGAAGCTAAATCCATTTCTCAGCCGCCCAGGGTGTCTTCCGTCTTCACAATGTCTTCTCACAAGGCGGCCAGGATCAAGAGATTCCTGGCCAAGAAACAAAAGCAGAACCGGTCCATTCCCCAATGGACTCAGACAAGAACGGGCAAGAAGAGCAGGCACAACTCCAAGAGAAGACGCTGGAGAAGAGCCAGGCTGGTCAGTAAGGAGTCGCCGTGCAGGGCAGGCACGCAGCGTTCACCTGGGTTCACTGGCTGTCTGCCGTGCCACCGTCGGATCAGTTGAACTTGTACTGGAAAACATCTGCTTTCTTCCTTGGTTTTGATGCTTCGGCAATGAGAAGTTAACACTTAATAAATAATGGGAGGCCACTGTTTAAAAAAAAAAAAAAAAAGCAACAGCATCTAGACCAGCGGTTCTCAACCTGTGGGTTGAGACCCCTTGGGGATCGAACGACCCTTCCACAGGGGTCGCCCGATTCATAGCACTAGCAATATTAGACTTATGAAGTAGCAACAAAAATAATGTTATGGTTGGGGGCCACCACCCCACGAGGAAGTGTATTAAAGGATCGTGGCATGAGGAAGGTTGAGAACAGCTGCTGTAGACTGATCCCCTTGGCATGTTGTTGTGGGCTGTTGAGTCAGTTCTGACTCATAGTAACCCTACTGGGCAGAGCAAACCCGTCACCATTGGATGGGTCAGGCTGTAATCTTTTAGGGAGGAGCCCTGGTGTTGCAGTGGGTTAAGTGTTGGACTGCTAACCACACAGTCGATGGTTTGAACCACCTTAGAAACTATTGGAGTAATCCTGTCCTGAAGAGTCACTATGGGTTGGAACCAACATGATGGCAGTGGGTTCATCTTAGAGGGAGCAGATAGACAAGTCCTTTGACCCGTGGGTTTGAACCACTCACCTTCCAGTTAGCAGTCGTACACTTAACCATTGTGCCACCAAAGGCCCCTTCTCCAGCATGTGAGAGAGAGAGAGTTCCCTGAGGTCAGAAAGTGTGGAAACAGCATGAAAGGGGGCCATATCTCACCATCTCTGGTTTCCCTATGGCCCCAAGGCAGGGGTCAGACATGCCTCCACCCTCCATCTTTCTTTACCTATTCTGACACCATTTGTGCCTTCAATAACACTTTACTTTTCTGTGAAGCTTGATAATTCCTTGCCATGTCTTCCCAGAACTCACAATGATGGGGGTTGTTAACAAGGGAAGTTAACTGGTCAAGATCAATAAACAGTAAAACACAGTCATTGTTCCACAGCCGTACCTCTTTTCAGCCAACAGCGCAGTCTCTCTCTGGTCCTCGGCTTCTCAGCCATGTGATCATTTGGCCTCTGTCACTACGGACCAGGAAGCCAGCCCATTGCTCTGCCTCACAGTTTCACGACCCTGGCATTGCTCTTCTGTTCCACCTCATGGTCTCCTTGCCTTGGCCTCTGGTCTCAGCCTGGCTCTTTTATTCTATCCCTCAATCTCCCTAGTCTCAACCTCTCCCGTGTTAGAGATCTGGAATATCCATTTCCAATGGCCCTGGGATTTCTCTCTGTTCCTGCTTCTGAGATGGCTCTTACATCAGAGGGATGGCTCCGATGGAGGATGGAGGTGTGTTTTTTGTTTTCCAGCAGACCATGCCCCCAAGAAAAACAGAAGATAGAGACTTAAGCAAACGCTCTGAAAAGGCTCCATCTACTAAGCGCACATCCCACCTTAATCTTGTAACCAAGAACTCCCCCAAAAATGGGCTTTTCACAACAGGCATATAGGCTAAAATGTGTAATACCTCCCATAAGAGATGATGGCTAGACGGGTCATATTAACTGACTATATACCAAAAAGAAAGGCACAGAGGCCCCAATGTGGTGCATCGGGTGAGCCCAGTGCAGAACCCAAAGGTGCTACTCTGGCTTTCCCCAGCATCAGGGTAGGCGCTGCGGGGTCTTCAGATGAAACTCTTGAAATCCCAGAACACATGGGAGGTGGACGTCGGGTTGCCACAGATAGGAATGATTTCAACTTGAATGAGATTGAGCTAATAGCACCCCAGCCAGGGTGTAGCCAAGTAGACACATGGAGCCACCGGGCTGTATACACGGACCTTCCCAAAACAGACTCCATTTCTATGGCCACAAGATTTGCCCTGATGGCGGGACAAGGGAACAACAAGTGATCCAAGTTGGTGGTGAGGTGGGTGTGGGAGGCCTGGTAGGGCATGATCAAGGGTAATGTA